CAATCCTTGGAGTAAGCTCGACAGTGTACACCAACGATGAATACCAAATTGACATAACTTGCTCCAACACAAAACTACATTTTCTAACCTATTATACTCTAAACTACACAAATTATTGCGAGTTATTAGTTCAAGTATTGGTAAAATAAATATAATTGTATCTTTATGGTATGGAATTTTATATTCGAAGTTTTTTTTATCCTGTCTTTGTTTGGTCCTCATTTTTTGTTCAATTCATCATCAATTAAATTTTTTTTAATAAAATAATTTTATATGTGGATTCATAACTTTTGCTTACTTTTTATCAATATATTTTCTTTAAAAAAAATTGCTTTCCACAAAATCTATTAAAAAAAATCTCTACCAAATCAGAGCTAAATGATGATCCAAAATCTATTACCCCAGTAGTTGGTCTAACAATATCTCACGTCAAATCACACTCGTCGTATTTAGTCAATTACTTGCTTATTTATCATAAATGAGTATTGTAACTAAATTTCTACGAAGTCGTGGAGTGCGAAACTCAATTTGTCTCACTATCTAGTGAACTTTCGACAAGTTAATTTTTTCTTGGAAGACTTCACCTTAATATATATTAAATAATAAATCTATTGAGTGCTTGTTTAACGGTGTTTTAAGCTACGAGTCATGCAGACTAATAAGTGAACATGAAGTTATAGGAGCTTGTTTGGTAGGGATTTTTTGGGGGAAGAATTGATTTTGAATAGTGATATGATGGGAAATGTGTGGTTGAAAAAGAAGAAAAAATTATTGATGTGATGGAAAATATTATTTTATTGAAGAATGAGTGGTTGAAAATGAGAATTAATTTATTGTAGAAAATGAGAATTCCTACCAAACAGGCCCATCTTACGAAATATACATGAATAAAAAGTAAATTTGATTAACTTAAGCTCGTATTTGATACTCACTCTCTAAAAATTAATTTTTTTCAAACTCATTTTTCAATTACAAATTCTTTCAATAAAATAAATTTACATATAAATTTAAAAAATTTCTTACTTTTTAACTACACAATCTTTTAAAAATTACTATTACTCTAAAACATTTTCCAAACACTCTAAACCAATTAACCCATTTTTTGACAATCATACTTTTTAAACTCTTTTTTCTGCATCTTCATTTTCAACTTTACATTCATATAATAAAATATTTTATACGTAAATTTATTTTTATTTTTAAATTATACGTTCTCTTGAAAATTATCATTCAAAACTCTATTTTTCAAAAGTACAGTGGTCGAGAGGGGCTGAACTTTGCCAAACACCCACTTAAAAAATGTGATCCAAAATAGAATGATTTCTGGTGCAACGTAAGCATCCCCAATCCACGCCAATGACCCGGTCAAGAACGACAAATTTTGAGGAAACAAATTGACAAAACCGGGTTTTTGGGTTGGATTTTACGCTAATGTCAAGATCCACTGATCCACCGCTACTGGGCCCCGCTTAAAGAAATATCTTACTACAAAAACGTGGCATTAGAACAAGCTCCCCGGGCCCACTTTCACTTGTATTCATTTACTGCTGGCGGACACGTGTTCTTGATTGTTTTGTGTTTTAACTTATCAATAACAGTAGCAATTGCAGTACTCATAATAGGTAAAATAATTTTAATAATTTTAAAAAATAATAAATTTTAATATAAAAAGTAATATTATTCAACATTACTAGTATCAAGCAGCAATTTAGATGACAACTTTAGATGATAATTTTATTTAAAATACCATATCGTATGATTTATTTAATGGAATATATCAAATATGGTCGTTTAAATTGGGGTTAGATAGTATTATTTATTTATAAATTGAAAGTTAAAAGGTTAAAATATGCCTTAATATACGCGTCAAGCTTGACAATGATTAAAGTAACAAGTTATTGTTGACCCTAATTTAATAATTCTTCATACTTGTAAAATTGAAAAGTTTTTGAGTTCCCAAACTATTTGAATTTGTGAATTAAAGTACCTAATTAACAGAAGTTGTATAAATAAACGTTAAAATCGATACGAAAGTCAAATTTGAAAGGTTTCTCTTTAATTTTATGTCATGTGAAAGGTTATCTATGATTTTAATATTTACATTAACAGCAACCTTCACGTGAGGATCCAAATTCAAAAATTTTAATAGGTTAAGATTTAAGAATAGAAAACCTTACTTTTCATTGTTGACAAGCAAAAATAACACTAATTGAAAAGTTAAGGGACTTGACGCTAAGTTTTCCACTTACTCCGTTCTTGATATTCAACTAGCAAAATCTCGTCGGTTAACCTTGTTTGGCAATTGCTTATATTGACCTCGAAAAATGGTTCGACACATGACCAATAGAAGATGTCTTCAAGTCATCCCTTCTTGCACATGTGGCACGTCGTTAGTCGCTCGTGGCCTTTCCCGGAGGGGTTGGAAGCGGTCGCAAACACTCCGACGGTCAAGTCAATTTGAAAGTTCAACCGGAGAAGAGTTCACCGACAGTGGAACACTCGCCGGGAAGTGGTTGACAAAGTGTGTATCGAAAAATAATAATATTTGAGGGAAGAGAATACTTAATCTCAAAATGTAGTGATGGTTTGGAGAGTGTTGAATTCCAATCCTCTTTTCGGGCATGAGGGGGAGCATTTATATCAAGGATGGGGAGGGGAGAGCCGTTGGATGAGAAGACACGTGTTGACGATCTCCAGAGTTCGTCACATCCTAGGTATCAATCCATCCCTCCATAGGCTTACTGGCATTGAATGTTTTTGACAAGAGCAGTTGATTTGACTGTTTGAGTTCTGCCACGCGTCCCATCAGTCAGTGATTCAACTTTGGAAAGATTTTTGTACAAGAGATCTTTGATGAGGCGAGCGAGGCAGGTGAGGCGTTGCAGCGTTATAGGAGTGGAGTGCTGGCCTTTGCATCTGCGGTTTGTTGGCGGATGAGTCCGGTTCGTTCACTGGCGCCTATTCAATTCATTCTTGACGTAATCACTTCGAATTGTCCTATAGGGTAATCACCTCGGCGAGGGGTGTTACGGTTGTCAACCTCTGCTGACACGTGGCGTCGAGATGCAAGGTCTGACACCGACCCGTAACAGTTTATATAACATAAATATATACCATTTTATTTATATTTTAAATAGATCATAAACAACTCTCAAACATAATAAATTCATATAATATTTTGGAATTCTTAATCATTAAGTTGAAATAACATTTCATTTTAAATCCCCGTATGGTTTAACTCAAAAGTTGATAAAATTCTAAGTCAAGGTTAGCAATTAATTTTAATTTTACATTTTATCGATTTTTGTCAAAATCTATTAAATATTTGATTTTTAGTTGAATCCAACAAGGACTAAATATTTTGAATTTGTCAAATAAAGTTGAAATTCGAAATACGTCTACTTTAGTTGGCGAAAAATTGACTAGACGACTCTCGATCAACTCTAAAGATTGCAAAGCTTCTAGATTGTCATTGAATATAACTCTAACCTAATTGTGAAGAAAATTTTAAATAAGCAATTATTGATTATCAATGAGCAAGACGTAGATTGTAGTGTGAATATTGTATAATCAAGGGAAGGCTTCAAAGTGGTCATGCTCTTACAAATTAGTAAAGAATTATTGATTACTTAAACAAATAATGGGATTAGCTAATGATGGGACAATAAAACAAACACGGGTAATACAAAATTTAATAATCTTAATTAAGTATTGTAGCGTGATTAACTCTAATGATCATGTTTAATCTTCCAAGAGTTAACACAAAGTACAAAGGATGTTATGACGCATCATTTGACTATGACATGAAAGTTAAGACTACGAACTTGTTTGGTAAATATTAAAATTCAATTAAAATTAAAAATATAATCGTTATTTGGTCTCACTCGTCTAATAAAAGTCAACAATAACGATTAATTTTTCAATTTTAATTCGATTTTAATCTCTACGAACACGCCCGTAGCTTATTCATATTTGTATGCGTAAACCGCTAAACGTGTGTTGATTCGGTGACGATACACGAGTAAAGTAAATTGAATTGTTAGACTCGAAGAAGATGTATACGTAAATAAGCTAACTCATTTTTTATCATCCAATTTTTAGTTGCTTTTCCTTTTCAAACATATAGTGTAGAACTTGACTCTTCGCTTTCGTAGTTCATGCAACCAACCCTATTTGAACCTTATTAGTTTTATTTTCTGTTTTTTACTTTCAAATTCAATGACTCACTTGACATGGAATGGTTAATATTCGATATAACCCAACTTGACTGAGAAATCGATCGTAAAAATTCATTGAAGAGTTCGCATTATTATTCAATAGGACGTAAGGTGTATATATACACCATTTATGCGTGTTGACTAAGTGTCACACGTGTACTAATAGATCGAGCTATTTAAGTTTAAAATAGATAATCTAATTAAAACTTGTACCACCTTGATATTTATGCTGAGTGGCATTTTCAAGTGCTTCGCCTTTCACGCAAACTACCCTATTTGGATCTTTATTAAAAATTTTCTTTTGGACTTTTTGAAGTACAAAGTACAAAGGATCATACCCCAATCCAATTGACTGATTTTGCTAATTATATTATTATTATTAATGACCTAATTAACAGCTACAATTTACTTGGTTGATACTTCATACTTGCAGTTGTCTTCTCAGTCATCAACTCTCTCTCGCTGACTCGCTCCCTCAAATCCTCTCTGGTCTCTTCCTTTATAGAATTCAGATTTTCTACAGAAACACGCACACTCACGCTTTCATTCCTCTCTCTCCTTCTCCCTAGGACGGATACGGAGAAAAAAAGTAGAGAGAGAGTGACTGGGAAGTTTATTAGTTCTGATACCTTTCTTGTACATTCAAAAGTATTCTTTCACTCCATTCCCTTTCTTTCTTCTATAAAAAAAGCCACCTTTTACTCCCTCTGTAGATAAAGCAAGGCCATGCAATTTCGTTTTGTATAAAGTTTTGGGTTTTGATTCCAACTGGGTTCATCAGAAATGAAGAAGGAAGATCAAGCAAGGTCTCTATTTGGGATATCTTTAACTGATAGACCCATTTGGCAACAGTTTCTCATATGCTCTTCGGGGTTCTTCTTTGGTTATCTTGTCAATGGCATTTGTGAGGTTCGTTTTTCTTGTATATATATTCGTAATAATTGCAGTTGTCCCTGTTTGATTCCTTGTGTCATTGGATCCTTTGTGGTTGGTTTTATTGGGTGAATTGAATTCTTGGATTTTTCTTTGCCTGTTAGTTGTTTGTTAATTCGCTTGAGTCAGTCTCGTGATGAAGAGAAGTCTCTTTAAAACGGGATACAATGAATGATCGGCAATTCAATTTTGCGCAGTTTAGAAATTAGAATTGCTTTGAAAACGGTTCTTAAATTTTGGAATTTTCTGTAAATGTTACGTTTTCAATGGTTGATTTTACTTTTTCGGCTGTGAAATTCAAGATTTTTGGCTTTGCATAGCAGTACTTTGTTGATCATTTCACTGTTCCATTGATTCAAAAGCTTCTATGAAGCCCAGATCTGTATGGAATTAGATAATTGTGAATAATGAAGTTGCAAAGTTGACTAACCAGTAACCATGAAATTTTTTATATCTGCTTGCAGGAATATGTATATAATAGGCTCCAATTCAGGTCCATCCTCCATTCTCCGATAGCTTAATTATAATACATTTGTGCTAATTATTCCGGCGGCTCATTGAATTAAAAAAATTTATACATGATGTTTTGCAGTTATGGGTGGTATTTTACCTTTGTCCAAGGCTTTGTGTATTTGGTACTGATATATTTACAAGGTTTCACCATTAAGCAAAAGGTGAATCCATGGAAAACATATGTCAAACTCTCTGCTGTTCTTATGGGTTCTCATGGATTAACAAAGGGTTCCTTGGCTTATCTTAATTATCCGGCACAGATCATGTTCAAGTCGACAAAGGTATATCATACTGGAAACTGACTTTGGAATCGGTCAATGATATTATATTCAAAGACTGTGATTAGACCAACACAACATTTGATGCTCGTTTTAATTTGTTTATAGTCCACTTTGATTGGTTTGACCTCTTCTGGTTCATCCTTTCTTCCAAGTTGCAGCATTGCACTTTGATTGTGATACTATAATGTGTGAGATTTGCAATTTGTTAAACTGATGAGCTCTTTTGGTTGTTGAGTATAGGTATTACCTGTAATGATAATGGGTGCTTTTATCCCCGGCTTGAGAAGAAAATACCCTGTTCATGAATACATATCTGCCGTGCTTCTAGTCGTTGGGCTGATTCTTTTCACCTTAGCAGATGCTAACACTTCTCCGAACTTTAGTGTCATTGGCGTCTTGATGATTCTAGGTGCTTTAGTCATGGATTCGTTTCTCGGTAACTTGCAGGAAGCAATTTTCACCATGAATCCCGAAACTAGTCAGGTGTTTATAATTATACGCCACTGCTTATACTTAAGATGACATCGCATATCGTTTTTCAGTGAATCTATATAGCTCTAATTCTCTCAGATGGAGATGCTATTTTGCTCAACGTTGATCGGGTTGCCTTTCCTATTACCACCAATGATTTTGACCGGAGAGTTGTTTAAGGCTTGGAATTCTTGTGCTGAGGTAAGGAGAGAGTAATTTCTTGTTCGGCCTGACCTGTTGCTTTTCCATTTGCTTCTGCACTCCTCTATGTATATTTGTTCTTTTAAATTTATCAGTTCGTTAATTTTGCATTTGCAGCATCCTTATGTCTACGGTGTGCTCATCTTTGAAGCAATGGCTACATTTATTGGTCAAGTCTCTGTTTTATCACTCATTGCCATTTTCGGGGCTGCCACCACTGCAATGGTAATTACACCTCGACTTTTGTTATGTTTTCAGCTTGCAGGATTCTTCTCCATAAAAATTCGTATTGGGACATTTATTTCATATCATGTACTTCTTTGCTCTTGCAGATAACAACAGCACGAAAGGCTGTGACTTTGTTGTTGTCATACTTAATTTTTACGAAGCCTCTTACTGAACAACATGGTTCGGGGTTGTTACTCATAGCCATGGGAATTATACTGAAGCTCGTCCCTGATACTAAACCTCCTAACCAGGCTGTTGTATCCAGTACTCGGGGAAAAATCCACCCGAAGCATGTGAAGACACCGGGAAATGGAGCCGATGAAGAAGACGAAGAGAAAAGGCCATTAGTCTGAATTCACAAACAAATTGGTTAGGCCATAATTGATTTGTGATATTCCTTTCTTTTTGCTACAGTTTAGGCATAATCATGTGAGGAATTAGAACCAAAGCTAGCCTTTAATTGACTGGGATTAAGAGATTCTTCACATTGTATGGATCTTTTTGGCAAATTCATGTGTATTGCTTATTGTCTAAAAGAATAGTGTAATCTTATATAAAGAGAGATATCTAGAGTTCCCTTTTGTAAATTATATGGATAATTTGATTTGCAAAGATCTTGATTGGGAATTGTTTGATCGTAATTTTTTAAAGAAACGATGATATAGAATCATCTTAAATTCTTAGTGGAATTTTATTGCGTCTATTTTAGTGAGAAATATCAACTCAAGTCAAGGATTTTTTCAAACAATGGTGTGGGTAGACTGTTCAATCGAATGATATGAAACTCGTTTTCCATCTCTTCTTGAGAAATCAAGAAGTTGAGGCAGCAATTATAAGGTAGATAAATATTAAATGCCCCTGCTTGGTATTCATTTTATTTTACATTATGTATGGATTAAAACTTTAGCAAAGGAGCGTTTGTAGTCCAACGGTTAGGATAATTGCCTTCCAAGCAATAGACCCGGGTTCGACTCCCGGCAAACGCATTTTATCAATTTTTTTTTTAACCCAGGTCACAATATTTCTATAAAGTGAGGCTGATCAATTATCGTGTTCCCTTGCCTCGTCTCAAAGAAACGTGCGACCAAGAGACTTATTTTTATTTTCCTAATTTAAAATTAGATTGAAAGAATAATTAATAAATTATGTATCTCTTTTTTTAAACTAGTACAATACTTTTTTTTTCTTTTTTTAAACGTGCGATTTATTAACACTATAACTCCTTAGTTGTTGGCCGTGCACAAGACTACAAACAAATGTATAAACCATTAAAAGAAGTTTAGAAATGACCCATTCACCCCAAAACTGGGTAAACTTAAATTGGTTTTACCCTAAAGAAGTTATTTAAATATTTACAAAATTTCACTCAATTACAACCTTTTTATTTTTTCCTAATCAGGGTAATCTTAATTTATAGAACATGGACAATTTATACAAATTGTAATTCATAAATTCAATCTTTGTTATGTATATAACGTTATTTTTTTATTTTTTATTTTGTTATCGTGTAGTTATAAACTTCATTAATGCGTACTGAGAATCATAACCCATCGGAATCAAATTCAATGTCAAATGAATTTCGTAGAAGGAACAATTGCCCCATAAATATTATATATCTAAAAAGGATATGTCCTCCGAAAGAAAAGACACAACTACAAAGTTTAACTCTCGGTCATGGTATAGCCCTATCGAGTCATCCTTCACCACTCTTTCCGATTTATTGAAAAATCCTACAAAATCAAAATAGAAATTCACCATTAGTAATTCTAATATAACCAACCTTTGCGGAGTAATAATTTACATTTTGCTCCTTCTATGCGTTGAACCGTACTGCATCAAACATTAAAATGTATATCAAACCTAACTCAAATTATTCAAATGCTGTATTATTCAGATGTTTTTAGAAAAATTGATACAACTTCTAGCAAAATTATCAACTTCATCCAAGACTAGTCCTCAATTCTAGCACGTTGGAAGTTCTTTGTCACTGATTTTGTACCTAGCTTAAAGAATCTAACGATAAACAAAATTTGTACTATTCTTTGATTCGAATATACAATATATGATGATGACACCACTTTTTATAAGGAATAAGATGCCCTTGCAAAAATGGAAGGTCCTGAATTTGAAGAACACTAGACTTCCATTTTAACTATAAAACTTAGAGCTCAAGCTAAATAAAGTACTATAGTCTTATAGATATATGTTACCTAAGTAATTCTTTTAAATTATAATTAAAAGAAATTATTATAAATTATCAAATTAAAAATGCAATATAAGTTGTTCAAATGGGAAAAAAGAATAAGTTATTTATTATTGATGGTTATGAACAGTTGTTTATGTGATAGTGACTCTATACGACTTTTTATTACTACTTCTAATAAATATAATTCTACACGATTGCTTGTTACTGTATGTAATGGTTGAGCTAAAATCTCAACCTCAAATCTACCAATTCCAGCAACCCGCAAAACTTTACTACTGTATCTTTTTCTAACAACCAACGCTTACATTGAAAATATAAAATCAATATAAAACGAAATTGAATTATAGAGATAGAAAAGAGATGAGAGAGAGAGAGTTTTACAACAAAATAATTCACCTTTTTTCCCTCCTCTCCATTCTTTTATAACCGAAAGAAGAAACGTGTTTTACGAAATGCAATAAATAAAACATATGCCTATTACATTCAGCAATTTTAGGGATGGCAACTGGGTAGGTATGGGACGAGTCTTCCATTCCCACCTTGTCCCATCGGATATTTTTGTTACCTTTCCCCATCTCCATACCCGTTTTAAAGCAGTTCGGGGAGGGTTCAAGGCTAGGCGAGGCGGGTTCCCTACCCCATTTATTTTATTTTTTGCTTTTATTTTTTTATGTTTTTACTGAGAAAATATTATTACTTTTTTACCAATTTGTTGAAAACAACTTATATTCTCTTTAAAAATATGATAAATCTATTATTTTTGTTTGATAAAAAACTAAAATTAACTTTAAACGAGATGGGTAACGGGACGGGGACTATGATTCTTGTACACACTTCGGGGCAATGACCCTCCCCCTATTATTTGATTAGACAGGTAATCCCCATCCTGTTTGGGGAGGGCCCATAGGTTTCGGGTTGAACGGATTTTGTTGCCATCCTAAGCAATTTCGATTTAAAACGACACCGTTTCGTTTAATTGAAACGACGTCGCTTGATTTAAAATACTAGTGGTTGGCTTGTCTTCTTCTTGGTGTTCCTCTTGCCTTTGTCTCCCCCACTTCAGCTGACCTGCTCTTTCATAACACTGTTATTCGAACCATCACGTATTTGATTATGAATTCCAAAAAGATTGTGTTTGCACGCAATACATTGCACATCGCTTTTGCAAAACGTATTATTTATTGAATATATATATATATATATATATGATTACTGCACTAACTTTATGATAATGGCAGAGCACTTATTTAAGTTGTCATTTCCAAAGCAACAAAAATAGTGTCCCGTAGCGTTTGAACTTGACCATCAAAATATCTAATAGCATCTGATTGGGACCCCTTCAAGAATCTCAAACTTCACCTTCACGTTTAATTATTCTTTCTTTTAGATTAAAATAAAATACTTTTATTTCAAGAGTATAAATCATTAATTTTATCCTTTTCGACCCATCGACCAAATGCCAAAAATGCACTGTCTCAAGCCTCATTAACGACACTCTACATTTTAGAGCTTAAGATCAACAATCTCGACACTGAAAATGGTAGTTTATTATATCACAGAAGAAAATATATCTTCTAGACGTATAATTCTTTCAAAGAACGAGGCTAGAGAACTCAGTGAGAAGTTTGTATCGTGAATTTGATTTCTTCACGACAATTTAACTCGGAGGAAATGTTTAACATCCAATTAATTAGAAAATAAAATAATTCAAATGAATCCCACAAATGGAAAACCCATTTTTATTGTAGGACAAATTTCCTCATTTTTGTAATTTTGGATGGCAAACACGTGAGGAATAGCCAAATTCACTCTCGTGATTGTCAAGAATTCGAGGTCGTCATTTTCGAGATTGCCATTATTTGCAATTTTTGTATTAAAAGTCTATTTTGGGCATCGGGAATAGAGTTCACTAGTTTTTTAGAGTGGTCTTTAAAGTTTAACCAAAACTTCAAACTGGTCCTTAAAATTATGTTTTTGACCTATTTGGGAAATAGCTAATATGATTTAAATCTTTATTTTAAAAGTTTGAAAAGAAAAGTGTTCACTAATGACGTCTTTGATAGTTGGATTGAAAGGTAAAAATTGATAATTCATTCTAAATTTTATACAACGATATATATGTTCATAATATTAATTGTGCAAGATATGAAAATAATCCCACAAACTAAGCCGCTATTCGCGAATATCTTAATTACATAGCCTAGCCTCTGTTTGGTACACATTATTTTTTTCATTTTCATTCTTCTACTCATTTTCAACCACACATTTTTCAATAAAATAAGATTTTCCATCACATCAATAACTTTTTCTTCATTTTTAACCACATATTCTCCATTAATCTACTATTCAATAATACATTCTTCCAAAAGAATGTGTCCCAAACACACCTTAACAAATATAATTATCATATTTATATCCGTTACGACATTACATACATACCACATATGCGAAGTCTTAAATGTTGTGCATTCAAACTAAATTTGTTCATCTCAAATCAAACAATTTTATACAGCAATATGAATATTAGAATTATTTATTGGGTAATATAAACAAATCTCTCAAACTAAGCATTAGCTGTTTGCGAATCCCTTAATTACACTCCTAACAACTATATTTATCACATTTATATCCATTAAAAACATTACATACATAAAAAATCTTATCAAATCGAAAAGTTTTGTAGGGTGGTATGTGTTTAAACATTATTAATTGCGTCACACATAAAATTAATATCACAAACTAAGCATTAGCGATTTGTGAGTACTTTAATTACGTACCTAACAATTTTATTTATCACATATATATCCGTTACAACATTCCATACAAACGATACACATGAAATCTTAACTTTATGCATTCAAAAAAAAATTGTTGGTTTAAATCGAACAATTATATACACACACACATGAAATTGATCTCCTAAATACTATGTGACGTGTTAGATTACAACAAATGATATATCAATTTAGTAGTGTGTCATGTCACCCAAATGCTTGACATAAGCTAAGCACCAGTACTTAAAAAATAAGTATTGTACATATATACATGTTCACATCATTGATTGCATAACAAATTCAAACAATCTCACAAACTAAGCATTATCTACTTAGTCACACCTAACAACTATATTTATCGCATTTATATCCA